TTTTGATGTGGCAATATTTCACATAAACAGCTAAAGGGAGAAAATAGTATTTTGGCTCACAGTTTCCAAAGTTTCAACCCAAAGTCAGCCTATTTTATTTCTTTTTGTGTCAGGTGAGGCAGAATATCAAAGCAGTGAAAGCATGTGGTAGAGACTTCTTACTATGTGGTATTTGTGAAGTAGAGACTGAAAAGGGGTTTGGATAAAGTATATCCTTCAAAGACATAGCCCTGGTGCCCTTCTTCCTCCAAACAGGCCCTTCCTCTTAATAGTCTATTCAGGTGTGAGTTCATTCATGAATTAATTAATCCATTAATGGGATATTATCCTTGTGATTCTATCACCTCTCAATAGTGCTGTGGACCATGGCTTCAATACATGAGCTTTTGTGGGAAACACTTCATATCCAAACCATAATACTCACTTTTTACTTTTCTCTCACAAAGTTCCTGTTTAATTTTTCTTCAAAAGTCAGAATTTCTGAGGACTTTGAAACTCAAATAATTGTATCTAGTACATGAAGAACTAATTTGGTATGAAGAAATTCGGCCTCATTTTTCATTGGCTCTCTTTGTCTTTTAACTTGACCACTTGAATATCCATTTAAACTGCAAAATAAGCAGTTTGGTCTTTCCAAGGTGAGCGTCTTGTACAAGAAATGGTTTGTTTTGATTTTCTTGTGATCTGTTTATAGAAACAAAATGAACATCAGCTTTTCTCTATCTTTGCCCCTATCCTTCAGTTATGTTTATAATTTGCTTTTCATGCTTTTGAAAAGCATTTGCTTATAGACTTGGAGAAAAAAATAAAGTTAGGAGTAAGACATTTTTAGGAACTGGTCATCCATCTTCTACAATTTTACTTTGTTATTTTTAGTATGTATAAGATAGTGGTTTGTAAGACTTATTTTATTTATTAGTATGTATATGTCTGCATGCTTGTGCTTGTGTGTTCAAGTGCTCGTGGAGGCCAGAAGAGGGTGTTGGATCCTTTGGAGCTGGAGTTGAAATGGGTTTGAACCATCTGACTTGGGTGCTGGGAACCAAACTGTGGTCCTGGGGAAGAGCAGCAAGAACTTTTAATCACTGATATCTCTTCAGCCTCAAGATAGTTTATAAGACTGGTCATCCTTTGGAATTTTCCAAGTGCTCAAAAATATTCTAAAATAGCACATTTCTCAGATAATGTCATATTTCATGGTGCTCAAAAAGAAAATACACTTTTTTTTAAAGTAGATGAGAGATGAATCCTGAATGGTGAGCTGTGACTTGACCTTTGAGTCACGATATTCTTTAGAATCCAGGTGTTCTGTGAGAGCAAGGATTTCCCAAGAAACAGCTCATGTGAGCAAGGACAATCTATTCTTTGCTATAACAAGCCTTTGCTGTCCATGGTCATCTGCCTTGTGCTCAAATCCTATCTCCTGTGATAAAAGGCGATCAATGCTGGAACACAGTTCGTGTACCACAAAAGCTCGATTATAAATTGTAGTTGTAGTAAATAAAGCATTTTCAGAAATTCTTCCCCTAAAACTTTGACTTTGACTTTTAGGAACAGCTGCCGGACCTGTATAACCATTTTTGTGATCTGAACCTGGAAGCTCATATGTATGCATCCCAGTGGTTCCTCACTCTTTTTACTGCCAAGTTCCCACTCTGCATGGTGTTCCACATCATTGACCTACTGCTTTGTGAGGTAGAGTGACTCTGTCTTTTATACCTATGGCAAAATAGAAAGGTTTCTATCTAGAATGGATTATTTTCTTCATTTTCTTTTTTCATGATTTAACCTATACCCACTGACCAAAATTTCATTTTGAATTTTTAATAAAGACTACTTGTGGTTTTATTATTTGCGAGGAATAAAAATACTAAGGCATGTGTAATTCCCACAAAATAAAATTAGGTTATGGTTAAATTTGTATAATTATATTTATGGTAAGTATCTGTGTAAGAATAAATCAGTACTGTACCTTTACTTTTTATTTATTTTTTTTGGGGGGGGTGTTCTTTTTGAGACCGGGTCTCCCTGTAGCCCCAGCTGTCCTGGAACTCACTATGTAGACCAGGCTGGCCTTGAACTCACAGAGATCCACCTGCCTCTGTCTCACCAGTGCTGGGATTAAAGGCGTGCGCCACCATGCCTGGCTATACCTTTATGTTTTAACAGTTAATGAATTGACAGTCAGGTGTTTTTTAATATTAATGCAATTATTCTATAATAGGGAATATAAATGATGGACTTTTTTTCAGTAATTCCTCAGTTCACTGGCTGTCCTTGGCTATGTTATATTTGTGGCTCCTGATAGTTTTAGGTCATGCAAGCCCCTTCCCTTCCCTCCCCTCCCCTCCCCTCCCTCCTACCCTTCTCCATTTTTTACTTGCAATGCTATGATTCAAATCTGTGGTTTCAGGCATCACAGACCAGTGTTCTAGCACTGAACTACATCCTCATCCCAATTATATTTTTAGGCAGAATATGTCAGGAATTAGTTTTCAGCATTTCTTTAGTATTGATATACATTTTGTTCTTTTTTTTTAATTTTATTTTTTGGTCTTTTTGAAACGGGGTCTCCTGACCTGGATCTCACTGTGTAGACCACGGTGGCCTTGAACTTACAGAGATCCACCTGCCTTTGCCTCCCAAGTGCTGTGATTAAAGACGTGCACCTCCATGCCCTGCTCACATTTTATTCTTTTTTTTCCTTAGGTGACTGTGTATTGCTGTTTTCTTTTTGGGTGGTGTTGTGGGTGATTTACCCTACCTCACCAATACTATGCATGTGCTCTACTAGGGAGCTGTATCCTCATGCCTACTTTACTCTTTTTTTTTTTTTTTTTTTTTTTTTTGTCTTTTTGAGACAGGGTCTCCCTGTAGTCCCAGCTGACCTGAACTCACTACGTAGACCAAGCTGGCCTTGAACTCACAGAGATCCACCTGCCCCTGCCTCCCTAGTGCTGGGACTAAAGGTGTGTGCTACTATGCCTGGCTACTTTACTTTTATAAATAATTATTACACATACATTTATCTTATATTGTCCATCAGAATATTTGACAATTAGGTACTTTGCTGGATGAGGAATATATATTTGAATGAAAGTATAGATGTGCATAAAAATGTAGCAGTATTCTCCTGGAGAGGTTGAGTATGAGCTTATGCCTGTTATTATCAACTTAGTATAATCTGCCTAGTTTTGCATTACTATACTTTTTCAAAGTAAATATTTCTCTTTTGTAAAGACTACCATTTTAATCATTCTAGACATGAGAAATTTAAATATAAAAATAGTATTTGAAAAGATAAAGTATGTAAAATTTTATAAAGTGTAAATTTTTTTTCAGACTTTACCAATAATCATTTCATAGGCTAGTATTGCTGTACTTCTGGTCACAAGGGCTCTTGTTATCAATTGCAGTGTACCTGAAAGTTGCAAAGCACTTTGTAAGCAAGGAAAGTCTTGAATCATTTGTAAAGCACCTTGATAAGGAAGATTTGGGTGACTTGCTAGGTTCACAGAAAAGGATCTTGATTATATTACAGCAACAGAAGCTGATTGATAATACATTAATGGTCCTACTCATTATACTTATGAGTTAGTTTGTAAAATGCCATTCTTAATGTAACAAATGGAAGAATGCAGAGAAAGAAGTTAAAACCTTTTTCAGCATGATATGGTGCACAGAATACATATTATTTGTGCTGAAATCCTTCTTTGCCTCATTATCTCAATTAACATGTTGAACTATGGCACACCTGGCACCTGTTCATGGGCCTTTTGGAACACAGATTCATAATTTCTCAGGAAATGTAACCTTGAAGATACCTGAATTTTTAATGTTGATTACTAGGAAAGTTACCCAAATTTATAGTAAAGAAATATGAACAAAGTATTTAAACTCCCCCCCCCACTTTCCAACTGTGATCATAGTCGGTGAAAGATCAGTGTTCATTAAAATTAATAAAACTGTCTTAGATGTTGCTTTCTCCCCTCCTTGAACTCACACTCTGTAGTTGGTTTTTATTTTTTTGATTTTTAATTAGCATGCAAAGCAATGTGTTTTGTTATTGCCCTTGCATACATACACTGTTTTTGTCAGCCCTCCTCCCTGTTCTCCCCCGTGCACCTGTCCCCAACTTGTACAAATGCACACACACACACCCTTTGTACTTTCATGTCAATGTGTTCTATTTTATATTTTCTTTAAAATTCTTTTTTCCCCACTGATAGACTTCTTTCTTTCTGAGTCTGGGTTACCTCACTTAATATAAATTCTAGATCGATTCATTTTCCTCAAAATTTCATTTTCCTTATGAAATTCCACACATATATCACATTTTCATTATCCATTCATCTCTTGATAGACCTCTAGCCTGCTTCTGTTTCCTTGCTATTGTGAATACTGCAGTAGTAAACATGGAGGATGTGCAAGTACTTCTGTGGTAGTATTTAGAGTCCCTAGAGTATAAGTCCAGGAGTTGTTTTTTATTTATTTTTTATTTTTTATTTTATGTGTATGTGTGTATTGCCTGCATGTATGTGAGTGCACCTGTGTTGTGCAATGCTGCAGAGGTCAGAAGAGGGCATTGGATTCCCCTGGAACTGGAGTTAAGAACAGTTTGTAGCCACCATGTGGGTGCTAGGAATTAAACCTGGGTCCTCTGCAAGAGCTGTCAGTGCTGTTAACTGCTGAGCCATCTCTCCAGCCCCAACCTTTTTAATTTTGAAAAATTTATTTTTAATTTTATTTGTATGCATGTATTGCCTGCATGTAGGTAAGTACACCTGTGTTGTGCATTGCCTGTGGAGGTCAGAAGAGGCCGTCAGATCCCCTGGGACTGGAGTTATGGAAAGTTATTAGCTGCCATATGGGTGCTTGGATTTGAATCTGGGCCTTCTGCAAGAACAACCAGTGTTCTTAACTGCTGACCATCTCTCCAGCCCCCAAGCCCAGGAGTTGTATAGCCAGGTCATGTGGAAGTTTTATTTTTATCTTTTTTGGGAAGCCTTCATACTTGTTTCCATACTGGTTGCACTAGTTTACTCACCACCAGTATAAGTAAGGGTTCCTTTTTCCCCACATCCTCAGTAGCATTTGTTGTCATTTGTTTTTTTGCTGATGACCATTCTGACTGGGGTGAGGTAGAATCATAAAGTAATTTTAATTTACATTACCTTAATAGCTAAGGATGTTGAATACTTTCTCAAATTTATTGGCATTTGTGTTTCTTCTTTGATGAACAGGTTGTTCAGTTTTTTAAGCCCATCTATCGATTGGCATTTTTTTTGTGTGTGTTAAGTTTTTGCCATTCTTTATATATCCTAGATTTTATTATCATATTCAAACTATACTTGCCAAAGTTTTTTTCTCCCAGTTTATTGGATGACTTTTCACTCTGTTGATACTTCCCTTTGTTGTGCAGAAGCTTTTTAATATCATATAAATCCATTTATTAATATGCTTTTACACTATTGGAGTCCTTTTCAGGAAGATCTTGCTTATACTTTTATCCTGACGTGTTTTCCTCTAGCATTTTGAGCTTTTAAATGAAGGTCTTTGATCCATCTTGATAGTGTGTGTGTGTTTGTATACACAAGCACACAATGTGTGAGTATGGATATAATTTTATTCTTCTGCATGTGTATATCTAGTTTTGCCAGCACTATTTGCTTGAATAGGTTGTCTTTTCTCCAGTATATTTTTTAACATCTTTTTCAAAACTTAGGTGACAATAAATAATAAATTTATAAGTTAATTTCTGGGTTTTCTATCCTATTGCATTGGCCTACATGCCTTACATGTCTGTTTTTGTGTGCCAGTACCACACTCTTTGTCATAGTAGCTCTCTATATCTTGAGGTCATGTATTGTGATACCTCCATCGGTGTTCTTTCTGCCTAGGATTGCATCGATTATCTATGTCTTTTGTGTTTGCATACAAATTTTAGAATTTTCTGTGGTGAACAGTATCTTGGAATTTTGTTGGGGATAACATTGAATTTGTAGGTTGTTTTTGGTGATGTAGCCCTTTTTATGCTATTGATTCTGCTGGTCTAGGAGCATAGATGGTCTTTCCATGGTCTACTGTCTTTTTCACTTGCTTTTTCAGTGCCTCAAAGTCTTTTTTTTTTTTTTGAGAATTTCTTACTCGAATATTGTATTTGCATTATTTTCACTCCTTCCAGTTCCCCTCCAACTTCCCCCATGTCTCCTCCAACTTCCTCTAAACTTCTTGTCATTTTATTTGATTATTATTGTTTCATATACATACATTTGTAAATATACATATCTACGTATACACACACATATAACATGTACTGAGTTTGTTTAGTGTTGCTTGTGTATATCTGTGTTTAGGATTGCTCACTTGGGAGCAGTGTCTTAAAGTTTTCACAGTAGAGATACTTTACCTAGTTGGTTGATTTATTTCTGTAGCTGTTTAGGAAAGTTCCATAGCTTTCTAAAACATGGGGTAGTTTGTAGTTACAACATCATGAATTCCAAGGAAGTCACAGAGTAAAGTAGCTTTACAAGATAAACTTTGTAAAGAACAGAATTGTAGAATTATGGTATGCCTCAGGATGTTCATTCTTTCCACTAACTTGCTTTTGTCATCTTTTTCAAGGATAATTTTGCAAAAGAAATTTTGAATAAACTTTGACTTCCTGCCTGTCTGTTTTTTCTCTTTGTGCCTTT